GGAAAGAGGGAGGAAAAGGATACTTCTGAGAAAGACAAAGGCGAACTGAAGAGATCAAAGAGGATAAACAAAGCAGCTAACCCATTGAGGGGCATAAATTATAACAGCTAGTCCAGGCAATTGGGTGAGAATCCAGCATATCTGGATTATCACAGTTATAGAGAAGTGAGGCTGGAAAGGACCTCTGGAGCTCAGCTAGACCAACCTCCTGCCTGAGAAGGGTGACCAAATAGCAAGACAGCTGCTGAGGACTGCCGTGAGGTTATAAATGAATTGGGTACAATTCTAAATTAACAAGTCTGTCCTTCAAAAAATGGCAGACAAGGTTCTTCGGGTGAATCTGATATCTTTTATAAGACCAACTAAATAGTTGAAGAACAATTTTTAAGCAAGCTTTCAGGGTCAAAAACCCTTTGTCAGGCTAAGGAAGTTTCAGCAGTTGATGCGCGCTCTTCCTGGATGGACACACTTCATTCCATCCAGGAAGAGCACACATCATTCACCCAAGGAACCTTGTCTGCCTATGTCCTTAGACCAACATGGCTACAACCTACACCCCTCAAAAAATGAGCATTTAAATGTGTGACCCAGTTCGTTTCAATTCAGTTTCTGCTGTCCACATGAGGGTAGCAAGCAGGCCAGATAAGCAGGCTTACCAGACGACTGGCAACATCTGTAGTTACTGCAATGTCAGCCATTTTTGAAAAACCAAAACAACCTTCCAGCTTATTATATGATTAACATTTTAATAACCCTGAAACCATGACTTCACTGGGACCATGTTAGTGAAAATTTACAAGCAACTTGTTTCCAATGCATCTGACAGAACCCTCCCCCCTCCCCCCCAAAACCACACACTTGGGGCACACAGGACAAAATGTCACATGAAATATTGTCATTAGACAGAAGGGAGAAATGTGGGTGGGGTTAGGGGAAAGGTGTTACCAATGGACAACTTTACTGGCTCTGTATGGGCTGGATCTGCCATTGGCGAACGTAGTGTGGTAACCTGCAATATTTCACCTGAGAGAATGGGTGGATTGTTGGAAGCCATCCAGACACCACTAGAACATGGGGACATTGACAGTCTTCCCTCCTCTGCACTCCCGTTCCTTACCCCATCCCTGTTCCCATCTTGAAAGCTAGTTGGGATTCTTCCCAAACAACTTGGCTGTATGGTACAAAAGCCTCTTCCAAATTCCTGAAGTATAGGTACAGTTTTGAAAGGGAAAGGATGGAATGTGACAGAGCAAGAGCTTGGCTCCCCTCCCCGCCCCCCAAACTTTAAATAATTTACAGCCGTTGAAACATGATGCAAAAACCTAGGGTCCCTAGCCCTAGGGACCCTCAATGGGCCTGTGCAATCTTAGATCAGATTATGGACTTTTATAATTTCTTTCCCAGAACAGCATCAGGAACCATTAACATTTCTATACAATTCAAGGAGTTACCAGCAGGGCTTTTTTGTGTGGGGAGGATAGGATAAAGTAAGCATCCATCATCTACAGAGTTCATTTGATCTTGATGCCCTATTTTTAGAATGCCCTCCTGAAAACCTCAGCAGTAACTGTGAAGAGATTGTACATTCAGCATCAGTACAGTGACACAACTAGTTACAACCGTCATTTTACAATGCATCAATTCTAACACATTTAGCAGCAGTTCATATACAGTATTATGAGATGGTCCTTACAGGTCACCATGGTGAGTTTTTGCTCCATTATTACAAGGACACTCCACACCATAGCTGCCCATGACCCAACCTTAGAGGTTTCAATTCAGTTTACAGATTCTCCCGACTCTGATGAACCTTAACATACATAAATATTCATATACATTTTTGTAATTAAAATGCCTCTTCATGTACACAATCATATATTGAGTTAATCAAAGATGACCATGTATTTTGGGAGCAGAGATAGCAAAATAAATCTGCTGTGCCAGTATCGTCCGCAAACTAAGCAAATCACTAAGAGGAAGTTTGACTGTTTCAGACTATTTATGAAAAAGTAATGTTCTTGGTCTAAAAGACATGAAGTCATGCAATAAAAGTGCTACAGAAGGTAACTGCAACTTAGATGGAAGCAAAAAATCTATTGATGTGTGTTATTGTGAATGTTTCTTGAACATATAATCTCTATTATTAAAAATAGTTAAATATGACTATTTAATATCACTAATAAAATAGCTAGGAATGTGCTACAATGAAAAAAGAAAGTAATAGCAAGCACTAATGCTGTTAAATTCAGGCCAAAAGCTAACTTATCTTCTTGCTTTGACAGGATGGATAATTTCTAAAATTAGTTTTGATTTTTAAGAAACCACCTCTGCTGGGCTGAAAAAGTCATCTAACTCTCCTGGCTGAAACATCTGGGGCTCTGAGGGACGCTGTTGTCTTGGCAAATGAAAGTCAAAAACTTACCGTTGTTGAACTTTCATTATGAAAGCCAGGCAAGAAAGGGAGGTAAGAAAAGGAAAGGCAGAGCTCTCTTCCAAGAGTTGCAATGCAAACCTCTCTTCAGCAAGGAAAAAAAGGGGGCAGGAAACTCATTTTGGACACAGAAAACAGTGGAAGAACCACATACCACAACATTTATATAAGGTATTTAGATATCCTCTGTCCTTACAGTTGAGGTGATGGATAAAAAGTAATAAGAAAAAAGATTCAGGTATCAGCATAATGAGAAACATGGGCCTAGAGCTAGCTCTCTTAAGTATGTCCAGAGTAGACTGCACACTAATATAGAACTGAGATCATTAATGCCTGGATGGTTCACAAACCCACTTAATCCAGAGTGGTTGGTAAAGTAAGGACAAATCAATCATTTGTTTGCTGTAGCTTTTACTTCCAAGAGTGCTGCTTCTCCAAACTACTGGAGCCTTCAGCAGGCCCAAATAGAGGGTCTGTAGCCTTTGAAATAAAAGCCTCAGCAAACAGCTGGAGCACCTCAGCAGTCCTGCACAGCTGTTTGCTGCAGTTATATATATATCCCCAGTTACTTTGCAAACCCTCATCTTAGTAGTGGGGGGATATAAAACCTAATCCCACAAAATATTTGTCACAGTGGCCACTGCATTTTTAGAAAGCTAGGCTAGAATAACACTGCTATTGTGAATCTTTCCACTATTTTACGCTTCAAAGCTCTTAGATGCTTTGAATTATTTTATTAAGATGTACCAAGTCATTTTTGTTTCTCAAACAGGTAGTCTGGTTTCATATCCCAATCTTGCATTACTGGAAATGCGAGGGTGAGATCTTTAATTGGGATAAATCACCATAGCTTGACTGAACTCAGTGGAATGACACTGATTTACAGTCAAGTAAGAATCTGACACTCGGTTTCAAAACCTGAATGGCAAACTTGAGAGATGCCTTCAAACTATTTTGTCATTGACCATTTACTTACTTTGCAAAATTACCATTACAAAATGAGGCATGACAGGCAGTTTTGAACCACAGAAATCTAAGCATAGAATAGCTGAGGCTATGGAGGTAGAATGGCAGTGGTGGACCACTATGCTCAGAGGCTCTACCAATTCATCCACAATATTTTAAAAGGCAAAAAGGCTAAAGAAAAAACCTATAGTTCTAATAAAAAGGTGATAAAGATGTGCTTTTTTATATACCACATGTTCTTAACATGATATGCAAAGTGCTAATAGCAAAAGCTTATGAGATAGCAATCATCAATATGCATATATTTATGGGATGAAACTTTAACAGGAGGAGTGATTTGCCTGGTTTCACATTTAACTCTTCATTAATATTGAAAAAAATAGCCTTGCTCTGCAAAGTAACAGACAGATTTAGCAAAATACTTTAGCAACCCCTGTATAAAAGAAAAATACACATTTATTTGAACAGCGAAGAAAAAACTGCAATTTATTAAGTTTCAAAGAATCTTCGTACTCTTGAAAGCAACTTTCGGTGCATGTTCTTTAACAATCACATTCTATGAGGAGAAATAACATTAAAAGCCACAAATGTTTTTTTGTGTTTTTTTTTAATCTCAGAGTTACAGACATCTTTAATTCAAAATTAAAGGCAAAAAATTAAACAGAAACTTTAACTTCCATCCCCAATTTTAAAATATCAGGAGTTTTTCTACAACTCAATGCTAAACTTCAGCATGGAAAATTGTATGCACTGTATGTAAACACGCACATACACACATACATATTTTATATAGGTGTGTGTGTGTGTATATATATATATATATAAAATATATATGTAGAATGCGTGTAATGGCAATGAGATGCAATTACTCTGAGGAAAGGTTATTCAGCTAAATACACTACTAAAACTTGAGAAAAAAAAACAAGTCTTGAACCCAGTTTGTGCATAGTTCATGATCCTCTATAAAACCAGCTTTTGTTGATTTGCATTCTTGCAGGACCCTTTTTATCTGATAAAACCATTAAAAAGCTAATCTTCCAAAAAAAATGTAATGCACAAGTTTCCTGATCCAAGCAGGCAGGGAGCACAATGTTCATATAATTTTTTAAAACATACTTGAAGGGTATGTTATTCCATTGTCTTTCTTCCTTTCAAAACAATCAAAAACATTGATCTTTAAACATAAAGCAATTTTTAATATATAAAGCACTCTTCAAACATCTATTTCTTTTGAGTCCATTATTTGGTAAATATGTAACTGCTACACATTAGATTAGGTATTTTCTTCTTTCTTACTGTCTCTTATTTTGTTTTTTTTTTTAATTTTGTTTTTTTAATAATATCTTCAGTGCTAGGAGTTGGGTTTTAAAAATACATGAAATGGTGTGGAGTTGCTCCTCGGGAAACCCGGCTTTCCTGAGACATCTTCCACCATGTGCAAGATAGTGATCACAAAGTTTTCGCCACTTTGACGAAGAGGAGGAAAAACAACAACAAAAAATAGTACACAGCAATGGCCAAAGAAAAGGATAATACAACAACACTGTTCAATCCCAGAGCTCTGAAGTAGCATATCTTCATTCTGAAAATAGGTTTCTTTACGATGGAAGTCTTTTTTTTTTTCTTTTTTTTTTTTAATTCCTTTTTTATTTTAAAGGTTGAAGGAGAAAAAAAAAGGTCTGTAAACAGGTGGGAGCCAAAACTGCTGGCCCCTCCAAAAGCAGTCAAAACCTATGTCCAAGTGCTTGTTTCTGTTCCTGCTTGCAGGGGAACTATCCACTCTTTACAAGTATCTATGGCCACAGTTCAACAAGAGTATTTTTTTAATCTTTATATTCCGAATGGAAAAATGGTGCAATACTCCGGTAATAATTTTCTTGCATTAGTCCACAATAAAAAGCTGCTAAAGGTAGATATACATATTATTCTCCAGAGATACACACTGTAATTTTAAAATGCGATAAGAGTCCTTGAGTAAACATTTACACATGAATTGTCGCCGGCCCCTCCTATCAATTTCTTTTTTTTTTCTTTTTCTTTTTTTTTTTTTAATGTATAGAATTAGCTACAAGAAGGGCTGCGGACACTCAGTGCAAAGTTAGAAGCTAATAACAATTAAACATTTGACCAATGAGCAAATAAAAAGCATATACTGAATAAAGGGGAAAAAAAAATTCACACTTTTTGTTAAGTCCCACGGGCACGCACGCACACACACACACAAGCACACTCATACATGCACATCTGTTCCAACACAAACATATAGTATGAACTTAAAAAAAATTCCTAGAGCCTGTTTTTTGTGTATGGATGCCAACCTGGAAGTGTAATAATTAGACTTAGAAAGTGTTCACATTTTGTTATTGGCCTGCTGGATTCAAGTATTTGCATGTTTGATATGTTTTTTTTTTTAACTTTTTATATTTTTGGGATTAAAAAAAAATTACATGACAAAGTAATGAAACAAGGGTAATGTGCATAGGCAGATCCATGGGAGTAGTGGACACAGAGATTCCCCACCCCCCACCCCCCAATTCAGTCTGTACAGTCAATAGTTACCATTCAGATTCATTACTTTTCTGTACCAATGATAAATATCACACTCCTCCCCCTTCTGATTACTGGGTCCGCCTCTGGTAATGTGCATAATAGTCACAGGCTCATTTTAAATAGGCTTTCATTTCCCCCCTCCCCTCAAAGTTGATAAAATAACCCTTTCCAGCCCAAATTTCTGAAAAGTGCCCTTCATGATAGACCTATTCTAAGCAGCTTTTATACTTTTGTTTAAAAACACCATACAAACATAAAAAGACAACATAAAATAAAAAGCCATGAAAAAATAAAACCTGTCATTAGCATGTGACACTGACCAAATGTAGCCCATACTGTTTCATTAACAGTTCACAAGGACTTCTGCAGTTTCATGTTTGATATTGGACAGAGGTACTAAAAAGGGCTGCCAGTCTGATCTGTTAAAGCTGGATTCTTCGTGAAGCCCTGGACTGGAAAGGGTTACAATTTTTTCCTTTAGTGCTGATGATTGTTTTTTCCATTTTGTTTCTTTTGTTTTCTAGATAGACTCCCCGCTGAGAAGATCACCTGGGAGCAGGGTATTCAAAGGTGTTGGGCTTCCAATAACCCTGCCATCGTCGGTGCTTGGGGGCCCCCAAAGGCTGCTTGAGTACTGAGGGACCCCACCCCAAAGCAGATCGCTGCTCCCTTTGCTACTCAGGCAAGGAGTATTCCAGTGGCCTGCATCATTCCGCACCAATCCATGAGAGCTGCTTGTAGAGCCCAAGCGAGTCTGATTGGTTCCAGTGTTGGACTGCCAACTGGAGGTGGGTGGCAGTGGCTGGCCTTGTGCTAAGAAACGGTTTACTTCTTCTTCACCAGCAAACTCAGCCAAGATGGTAGTGTTTCCTAAAACACACCTAACAACAAACAACAGAACAAGGTGAAGGAAAAGAATGTGAAGGACATTATTTTCAGAAGTGTCAAGAGCTTTCCAAAACTGCGAAACCCATTTTCATTTTGAATGGAATGGGCAACAAAATCAGGTTCACTCTGCACACTTTAGAAATCCTATCCTTATTCAGTTTCACCTCAGTAATCCCCTATATTTCACAATTACATGCGTGTGCACACCTATGCCCACTCTCCTTAGTTGCAAAATTTACAGATGAGTTAGACCTAATGTACTGATACAGCATAGCAGTTACCAGTTTTAGTACAATTTAAAAAAAATAATGTAATATATACAACATAAAACAATATTTCTGTACATATACTCGTTATACATGCAAAACCCCAGTTGTGATTCTTCTGAGAAGTACAGGTATATTCTGTTTATTCTTGTCCAAAACTCTTCTTATGGATTTCTCTAAAGCCTCAAGAACTATCAGGAGTGTTCTCTGTGTACATTTAAAATGTACATTCATTTTAAAATCCATATATTAATTTTAGAGCATGGACAACTCCTTTGGCTACAGTTCTTTCAATTCAGGATTCCAGATCTCAGCAGATATCATTAATTGAAGGGTGATTTTTCATGTTTGTTCTGTTTCTACAGTAATTAAGCCAAAGTCAACACTTTAAAAAACAACGCTATGTATATCATTCTTAATACTTTTCTTTATTACATAGACCTTTTGCAATTACCTGATCAGTATCATAGTGGAAGGCTAACTACAATTGTACATAATGGAGTGACTGTTATTGCTGTATGTTAAAACGCAGGGACTACCATACTGGAGTAAGCCAGTTGTACAGCTACCCTGGTATCTTATCTGTAGCAATGGATAGCACCAGAAGCTTCAGAGAAAAGTACTTTACATTGCAGTTATGGTATCTGCCAACAAAATACATTTCTTTTCAACCTTCAGGAGTTGGTGGTTTGACTCACATACCCATGAGAATTTCTTTATATTTTTAATCCTTCCTAATATTACTGAAGTACTCATTCAAATAAAAATCAAATTCTTTTTTAACCTACATTAAGCTTGTGACCTCAATGACACTGTGTCAGAGTTCCCCCCATACTAAATTCTACCTATGAGAAAAGGAAAAGAAGAGAAGAACCGTACATATGCAGAGACTTCTGGGCCTTGGCTGCTTCTTCCTTGGAACTGTATCGGACCACAGCGTTCCCTTGAGTCAGGTTCAGGTGGAATGTAATTAGAGGGCCATGTTGCAAACACAGTGTCCGCAGTGTAGAACCATCAATCTAATTAGAGAAAGGGAAAAGACGTTGATTCTTCTGGGATTTTCCTCGCTATATTTACTAATGGAAGAGGCTTTAAATGATAAACAAAAAAAAAACATGCAATGAAAAGGACAATGGTGTTTGCTAATGAAAGAAATGGACTTTGACAAATCACTGCCTCCACAAAAAGAGAGAACTCTGATTCTTTCTGTGGCTCAACACAGAACCTGCCAGGTTGAAGGGATAAAAATGATATTTATTATCCAAAGCCTATAAAGGTTGGAGAAGAGTCTAAATGTTCATAAACAGTTTATAGCCCTAAAATACTGCTTTCTCAATGCTCTGAGTCTTAAGCCTCTCCATATGATCTGTACTTTGGCCAAACAGGAGGAACCGACAGACTACGGATACTAAAAGGAGTAATAAAAGCATAGTAAACTTGGATTTTAAATCTTTGAATTATGCCCCAAAGACCATTCACACATCAAACTTTCATACAAAAATGGTGCACACTGGATGGCTAATACATAGGCATAAAATTCATATTTGATTTGATAGCAGTTTAAGAACTCGAATTCTTTCTGGTGAAAAGTTACCATTGAATTTCATTCTATCAAAACAATCCATATGAAGCACATTGATATTATCCAAGCAACTGTAACCTCTTAGATACTTCTTGCTCATAAAAACCTGTTCCAAAGGATATTTGATTCTGTTTAATATCAGGTCTAAATAAAAATATATAATATAATTTGTTAAAAGCATTATGGCAACTATGTAGCAACCTATTCCTGCCATGCAGATGAAATTACAGGCCCTGATAGATGTGTGGCTCCCCACTGTAACTCATGGCACTTCACAGGAAATGCCATGAGTTACAGCGATCCCCTTGACCCAACAGATGTTCTCTCTTGGGTCTGGGTGGGTGAGGGATTGAGCTCCATTTTGGATCACCTTGGTGTGGGCTCCAATTCATCTGCCCCACCCCCCACAATCCTCCAGAACAGGCTAGGCAAAGCTCAGCCTCCTCACACCAAGCTCCTCCCGCCCCCCATCCCATCCTGAAGACGGCACTGGGGGGTGGGGCTGGGCTACATGAGCCCAGCCTTGCTCCCAGGCAGGCAGTGACAGAAGTTAATGAAGGCACTCCACTTTGAAGCATTTTCATCTGCACACTCATATAATGAGGGATCATTTGTTGTGCAACTGGGCACTTTTAAAGCACTCTGCAGCTGTGTACAACTGTCAGGGCATGGCTGTAGAATGCTTTCAGGGGCCTGATCACTTGACAAAATGTCAGTTTTGTCAGCACCCTACATTTTCCTTAAATCTGAGTAAAACTACTGAGGCTAATAAGCTTTCTTTCAACCATCAATTAAATATGACATGGTTGTTTGTATAAGTCATGAAATTCTGCTTACTTGGGGTGTGAGGTTTCGGAGAACCAGCCAGCTGCTTGTTCTTCCTGAGTTGTCAGTACTCCATGCAGAACCTACACAACAAATTGAGAAATGAACGTTTTAGGACCTAGTGAAAGCAAATTTGGAGTTTGATTCTCATGACAGAATATATAACATGCAGGATACAACACACCAGCAAAACAACTGCTATTGCAAACTTGCATGTTAGTAACCAATCAGGCCATTTATTCTCTAACCTGTTTAACTGTCTTGTTCTGAAAGAAGGGTTACCTGCTGAAGCAGAATGCTCCTCACCCTGTCCCAGCTGACTTTAAAGGATGTGTATTTTTCATATTTCTGAAATTTTTCTTCCATGAATGACTGACTCTCAGAGCACCATACTGGTTAAAGCACGTATGTCACTACAATTTCTTTCAGGTTACATTAGAAATAACCAGAAGACATTTTATAAGCAACACAAATCCCTGAAATCTCAAGACTGTTGGTTGCTAATATTTTAAATCTTTTAACTTTTACAGAACTGCAGTATATTGCTACATCACCAATGATAAATTATTCGTATCTGGCTTTTATTCATAGCAGGAAAATTTCTACATTGATAGTGCTCTGCATTCAGATATGGGAACACAACTGGCAAAATCTGCCTTTCCATCCTCAATCTGGTATTTTACAGGAAGAAAATACATGGCCGTGACATTTACTACTGGCATTTGAAAAACTGCAGTCCTTCAGATAGTGGGTGACCAAAGTCAGGATGCAAATGAAATCTTGGCAGCATTACTATGATCCTATGAGGTGAAGGTTTCCAAACAAAAAACAGACACTTGAACAGTGGCAATCAGGAAGAGCTAAGAATCACCAGCCTTTTGGGAAGATCACTGATAAAACAGTCAGCTATCAGCTATAACATTTATTTCTGAAGCAGACACTTCTGTGAACAAATGCACAGGGTATATAGGTTTTTTCCCCTTTAATTTGTGAATAAATTAAATGCTGATATCTAGAGAACGGGAATGTTCATGAAGCAAATTAGACCTATTCTCTGGGACTCTGATCAACTGCTTAAAGCAAGCGATGGGATAATCAGGTCTTGGACATTGTGCATCTCTGCTCACTCTGTGTGTGTGTGTGTGTGTGTGTGTGTGTGTGTGTACATTCCTTGTCAAATAATACTGATTAATTAGGTAAAACTGAAATCTTAGACCCATTCACAGAATACCTGCCACAAAATAGGAAAAAAAGTTTTAAACTATTTAGACAAAAGCGAAAGGTTTATAAAATAGAAAACCATTTGGGAACAACATTTATTTTTTACACTAGTCTGACCAACTGATTACTATTTTGTTTGAAACCATCTGGCAATCTCAGAAAATAAAATGTACCTTTCATCTCCAAAGTTGTTTAACTCTACATTTATTGTACCGCAAGTGGCTGGAGCATAGTATTAGAGCCAGAGGGTACAATGCTTCTGTACCATAGAGAATAGAAGTAAACAGAGCATAAAGAAGGAAGGCAAAGCATTATAATAAAACGTCATAGAAGTACCAGAGGAATAAGAGCTGGTCCAACCCAGTGGGCTGGCACCCCAGGTAGATGATGGCTTGGTGTTCGTTAAGCCTGGAGGTGGTCTTGTAGGAGCAGTAGTGTTTCTGGGTACCTTCCAAAGTTCATGGGATAGAGAGGCCTGTGTGTGAGAGATTGGGCCAGACGACCATGTAGACTTGATGTCTGACAATTTACCTGCAACAGAGAAATTTTCATGTATTTTTAGGCTGAAATGTGAACAATTTGACTGTATTTATTACAGCTAATCCTCAAGCCTTGGTCCTTATAGGAGAATTGGAATAGTCTTCTGTAGTATCAGTGCCATCAATTTTATTTATAGTGAACTTAAACACCACTGAATGCAACCGAGGGACCTTTGTACCTAAAGAATTTAATGTGCATATGGATTACATATCCCCCTTGTTGTACCTCCTAGCACTCTCTTGCTCATAAAGGACAAAAACCAGAGAATACGACTGAATATCTCAGAGTCTACTTACACAGAAACTGATAAACACTTCATAAATTATTTAGCTCAAAAGTTCACGCAATGAAGTTTACCCGCTTTCTGCATCCAAGCAAGTACAGGCAACGTTTTATTTAAAAGAAGACACTGACATGTGCTTGTGTTCTCAAGCACATTCAGTATTTAGCAGATTCAAGAACACCTAGAAGGGGGAAGTATTTTCAAGTCTTCATACACTGAGACCAACAATCTACATATGAAAAACTCCTTGAACCACAATCTTCTCATTTTGCAGATTTATTGTCCACCGTGTTATACTTTTAAACTTATGTTCATTTCTCTAAAAAGTATTGTGATCATTTGTATTGCAATTCCTGACAAATCAGGGCTTTATCAAGTACATTATGCTTGATAAAGACAAACATTACAATTAAAATATGATCTTTTAAGCATTTATGAAAACAAAAAGAATCTAAACAAAACAGAAGAACCTAAAGTTGTATTTATTACCAACACAACACAAAACATCAAAAAATCATCCTAGAAATATTTCACTTTTAATCTTACATATCCCTGTGCCTGCCTCTTGTGGCAACATATGTACCAAACACAGAGCCTGATTCCTCTCTCATAACACCAAAATTGGGTAATCCTCATTTAAATCAATTCATTTGCTGATGAGTAAAACGGGTATCAAGTGAGAGGACAATCAGTTCCATGTTTTTGTACAAACTACAGTGACAAAAGGAACTTAGCAATACTGCTCACGAAACACTGCCAAGTGAGATTTTCAGAATTTGTAATTTAACACGACAAATGCGCATTAATAGGTTAGATGTTGCTATGTCACTGCTTCTCATGGGGTTAAACACACAGCTTAGATGTAGTAGCAAAAAAAAAAAAAAAAGGCAAACAAAGCAGAAATGTGTTGCAGTTAAAATTAAGAGAAAAATAAGCCACTTCTTTCCCTTCCTTGTAGTAGAACATTTCAGATAATGCTCCTTCTCTGGCTTTCTGGCAAAGTGAACCTGAATTAGTCAGTAAGGCCCCTAGATGCTGCAGCTTCATTTAAATTAAAGAGTTGAGGTTTTTAATTTATCACATATAAAAATGAATAATACAATTGGTGCAGTAGCCCTTGGGTGTTTTTATATAATAATACATTTATTTGACTCTGGCTTCTCATTTCCAGCCTGCAGCACACCACAGTTTGTATTAATAATGATGAACTGCATTATAATAATTGTTAGGGGACAAGCTAGACATTTAGGTAGCTGGTTAGCTGAGAGTCCATTTCTGACACTGGAAGAGGTATGATGCTTTGAAGTCAACAGCTCTTTGAGAAGCATGGGGCACAATTTATGGATTATTTTGGGACTGTCTACAGACTCATGCAGACAAGACTGCATCATTATGCGTTTGCTGTGCTCAAAGATAGATGTCAGGAGAGACCTTTAAAGCAAGCTATTAAACCTCATCCTATTTAGCCTTCTGAATAGTTAAAGCACAACCTAGTTCTAAATTATTTCCTAGGAATTAGCAGGACTGGAATTTATTCATTCTTGAAAGTGAATTTATTAGCAGTGTTTTTCAGATCACCCTCTACCGCTGGAGAGGAAAAATATTCTTCCTTTTAGATGTAGCGAAAACAGCTTTGCTGAAAAGATCTGGGTGCCTAAACAAGTTGCCTGCTTTGTGGTGGCCTGAATACATTTTTCACTGAGCACAATTTCTTAGGTGTTCATTGTACTACACACCCTGTTTGAATGCTCACCACTGCACAGCTACCAGGGGAGTCACTTAGTGGGAGCAACACAATGCTCAAAAAATGTGCAGTACATCTGTAATAACACTACTCTTACAACCACAGGAAAGTGCTGTTTCAGGGCCTTTTCTCTTTGGGAATGTAGTGGGATGCTGTAAGTAGAAAGGCCATTTTTTCGTACCTGCAATGCTAGGTGCAGATGCAATGCTGCTGAAAGAGCTACTGTAGCCGGAGGCACTAAGCGGCCAGGCACTCGATGAAGGCAGCGTGGCATTCTGAGATGATGTTGGGGATGACCCTGCAGAACCAGCAAAGAAGCAACTAAGAAAGATGGGCAAAATGGTGTCTGCTGCTGCATAAAGCAAGTCTAACTACATTATGTGCAAATACAAACCATGCAAGATATTTCCGCTAATCACACTGGTCTCTGAAGTCTAGGAATGAAATGTTATAGGTAGCATGATAAAGTGAAGCAGACCTCTTTAGTATTGAAAAAAGAAATAAAAGCGGCTAAACTGGCAAATGCATTGGTGCCCATGCAGAAAAATTAATTCTGGGTTTCGCGTAGTATATTCTGATCTTGGGAATGTCAGAGAAACTGTTAGTTCTCAAGGAATGGACTCACTTATATTATTCATAATATTCTTTCTAAGCTCACCCAAGCAACAGCAACTCTAGATGAATGTGAATGTGTACTAAAAACTAACCTCTTATCCTTGATGATTTATCCTAAATAGCTGAGATAAACACTCTTCCATGGCCTAACACCCACAAATACCATTAGATGGTTTGCAAACTACTCTGTTGTAGATAAAGCCAATGCTAACAGTCTCTTCTATTAGCTATATCAAAGGAGCTGTAAGTATAAAGCATTCTAATACCACAATGGATGGCATATCATTTTTATAACAACATGCAATAAGATTAAACCACACAACAAATTAGGATCTATCTTGCTGTCAAGCTGCCTCTTCAAAATGGTAGACACTTATTCAAAACTTCCCTACTGGCTAATAAAAGAAATATGCCATACACCGAAAAAAAAGAAGTTTAACAGGAAATCAAACATCTTCAGAATAGTCAGAATGAAGAATAAGAGACTATGAACCAACAGCCTCCACCCGAGCAGTCAAGGAAAAGAAAAATCAAGCTGTCTTTCAACTTATTTCTATCTTCTAAAATACAGATATGGACACTATTTGTGTATATTCATATATATGTATTGAGTAACATAATGCTAGGTGGGCAAACAGGGCACAAGCCCCAGGCGCTACCTAAGGCCGGGGGGAGGGGAAGGAGGTATTCCAGAACAGAGTTGGTAGGGGTGCTTTACCCTCCTGTCCATCTCTGGGCAGTAATGCTCCCCACAATAAAGCATAAGGGCAGGGAAGCAGCAATGGTGTACAATGCAGGAATAGCAGTTGGAGGTTTGCTGCTGCTGAGTGGGGGATTCATCTCCTTTTTTGACTGCTCGACATGCATGGTCTTGGGAAAAAAGATGCCACGTCCCCTAGCAGCAGTGAAACTCTGGCCTCTGCTCCTGCACTGCTGCTCCGCTGTCCCCACTGCTGGAGCTGCGGCTCCTACACAGAAGGTGGTGGGGGAACTGGGGACTGGCAGGGCACAGGATGGGCCAGTTATGCCTCCAACTGAGAACACATAAAGTGGTCTTTCTGTCTGATAAAAGTGTTGTGATTTGCAACTATCACCAACTATTTGCTTCTGTATCTTTACTAAAGATATGAAAGTTTATAACATTTAAGCAGCCCACAGAAGTTAACCCACTAAAACTTGACTAATTTTATTTCTAATGAAATTTAGCACATCCAGACTTTTGGCATCAAAATATTTCATAAGTAGAATCATAAGAAAGTTGGGCTTTAAGGGACCTCAGGAGGTCTTCTAGTCCAGTCCCCTGCTCAAGACAGATTATCTTTGACGAAAACCTTCCCAGCCAAGGGTCTGTTTAACCTGCTCTTGAAAATTTCCAGAAATGGAGATCCTACAACTTCTCTAGGTGGCCTGTTCCAATGCCTGACCACCCTCATAGTTAAAAACTCTTCCTAATCGCCAACCTAAATTTCCTCTGCTGCAGCTTGAGGCCATTGTTCTTAGTCTTGTCACTTACATCCACAAAGAAAAGGCCATCTCTATCCTCTTTATAATCTCACTTCAGGTATCTGAAGACTGTTATCAAATCCCACCTCAGTCTTCTCTTGTCTAGAATAATGAACTAAGAACACAGTCTAAATAAAAATCAGTAACAAAAGCTCCCGCAGCAGACTGTCAGTACATATCAATCTTCTTAGGAATGCAAGGGGCTCTTGCCATTGACCCAGAACCTGCTAGAAAGTTAAGAGTTGGCATTACAAACATGCTCCTCTGCAGAACTGAACCTTCAAACTGAGGAATCATGTTAATGGGAGTTTATTGTCAATCTACAAAAGAAAACTCAGAGGAAGAGGAGAATGGTAGGAATTTAAAAGCCATACTGACAATACAATAGCTGGTCAATGATCTTTCTTTCTCCTTTTGTCAATTGTGTAAGCAGAGCTTATCACTCTCAGATGGCTTCTATTACATTTGACCTTTTAAACAGAAAATAATAGGATCAGTTATAGCTCAAAATAGTTGATGAAATATTAGGGAAGTCTTTAGGAACACCTAACAGGCTTGGTTCTATTCCAAATGAGTCTTAGCATACTTCCTCTTATTCATCATTGCAGGGGAAGTATGAAGCTTTCCAGGGAGAGTGTCTAGCTACTGAAGGTGAGGTGGACATTAAACCATCTGCCTTGCAACAAACAAAAGAGTCGACAGGTGATGGGATAGACAGTAGGAGAATTAAACACTCAGAAAGAAGGTGAAAAGTTCAGACAGCAATGCCAAGTCACCCCTCAAGACAGGCAACAGACAAGTTTAAAGAATAGGGAAATAACCACAACTCTCCCTCAAAGTAGCTCAGAGAGGAAAAGGGGATGATTAAAGAGAACACTGTTTATTCGTAAGGCAAGCATGTCAAATGGCCTACAGGGTTTCTCACTGCAACTGCCTGATGTCTGATGTGTCAGTGTGGCCAGCACCTAGAGGTTTAACATAGCCACTGCCAGAGATAGGTACCTTTCACCCCCTCCATCTCTTATGGCTGCTGAATTTACCATTTTTGATCACCAGTGGCATTAAAAAACATCAGCAGCAGTCAGCAAATGGGGGCGAGAGGTGGTGGCTGCTGGCAGGGAACATGGCCTACCAACTGATTTGAGTTGGACCCCCTGGTCTAAGGGATTTACTGACGTATTCTTGTTTTGTGCAACCTGCATGTAAGCAAAAGAGGAGGCAGTTGTGAAACTATCTTATATCTACAGAATTCCATGCATGAAGGATGACTCACTATGACTAAATCTCACCAAACCTTCTGTGCTGTTCTTATGGCTAGAAATGATGCAGCTAGCCGGCTACTTGCTCAGAATAGTTATGTGATGATAAATAAATTCAATTTCCAGACAGTACGGTTTACAAATATAAATGAAGCATGACCTTGGAACAGGTAGCCTCTAGGCCTCTGTGAATTGGGAAGTATTCAATTCAGATTTGGCCGATTCAGAGGACACTGATTCGATTCAGATTTTCAGATCACTGTCCTGAATTGATTCGGCCAAATCAGCTTCAGAAGATTTGGGGCTGATTCAGATCGGCTGGGTTCTCCTGCAGCTCCCCCGGCTATGCCTGCTTCTCCCCATGGGGGAGCCGCGAGAGAAGCCTCCATGGCTGCCCTGCCTGGCCCCATCCCCTGCCTGGCCCCTGCCTAGTGCAGGCACTTAAAAAAAAAAAAAAAATCCCTGCACTTGCTGCAGCAGCAGTGATTGAGGCCTCTGAGTGCTCATGGCAGAGCCTTCCCCCCCCGCAGCATGGGGCTGTGGGGGGCAGTGGGGATTGCCTTTCCCGCTTACCACCCACAGCTCCCAGGCAATGTGCGGCACCCTGCCATGCCATGGGCCAGTTGCCACGCGGGTGCCAGGTGGGGGCGATCCCCACCACCCCCACTGCTCGGGGCAGCTCTGCCACAAGCCCTTGGAAACACTGATTGCCACTGTCAGAGCTGCTGAGTGCAGGGCTTTTTTTATTTTATTTTTTGGTAAAGTGCCGGGAGGGGGATGGGGCCGGGCAGGGCCGCCATGGCGGCTTCTCCCGCTGCTCCTCTGGCTGTCTGCCTCTGCCCTGGTAGGGGGAGCTGCAGGGAATATGCTGTGCCGTCACCTGTCAGCTGACGCCGGGGGGGGGCAACGCGCGTGGGATGTGGGTGCAGCAGTGCTGGGAGCAGGGGCTATGCCATGCTGCCACTTGCCCCCTTCCGCCTGGAGCGAGCCATGCCCTCATCCTGCCCCCCACCCCCCAAGCAGGGCAGAGCCACTGCTCCTATGCCCGCTTCCTGCACCCTCCCTCTCCTTGTAACGTGTTCCCCTGCCCCAGCTGGGCAGCTTGTTCCAGCCCCAGCTCCAATCCCTCCCTGCCCCATGCCCCTTCCTGTCCCCCTACCCCAACCCCAACAGACTTACCAGTGGGAGGCAGCTGTGTCAGCTGCCTGTTTAGCCTATGGCTGAATCTCAAAAGTGACCAAATCTTTTCTGAAGCTTTTCCGAATCAATTTGCATGTTTCCAATTGATTCAGAGCTTTTAAATGGTCTTCCGATTCAATTCAGATTTGGTCCCCAAATTGGGCCAAATCTCCTCCGAATTGAATCAGCTACCGAAGTGTCACACAGCCCTAGAAGCCTCTTATATGGATGGACTAAGTGGAATTAGCTGCTGCCAGATGGACTTAAACAATGCTCAAGAGTGTAGAGTGCTACCTCTGGTACATTCATCTCTTCCCTTGCCTTGATCTCTGATTGGCTGCTGAAAAATAATATTTTTTAAAAAATATATTTAAAATAAACTGAAACAACTAAAGAAACTGGAGTAGATTAAAATATTAAATAACCTAGAGCAAAAATATTCAGATTCTTAGTATGTGGTGCAGTCACTTTGCCCCTTTAGACAGTGAAAGGTACAAAGTAAATTTAAGCAAACTAGCTGTTAACACCATTCCACTGAATGATCTTAATTTTGTTTCTAAGCTTCACAATACTGAATAGCTAGCAGGTCTTAAAACAACTTCTCTGTTCACCTGCTAGTTCACTTCTGTGAATTGTAAAATTTCTGAGATTTAGATAATAACTGGTTATGATGTGTCTGTCTCTCCTTTGCATTTCATACTCCATAGAAAAATTCACTGCAACTACAACAGGGGTGAGAACGCCTTTTTCAAACATATGAGCACACTGATTAAATAAGCCAAAGGGAGACACAGAAGATGACATATGTCCAAGAACGTTTCTGAAAGCTTTCTCTTCACAGGTTTAGCCCTGCTTTGAAGGCCTCTTCACACAAGGCTGCAGCAAGTTTATGCTGTATCAGAATACATGATGACCACTGGCCCCCACAGAAAAATCAACGGAGCTGTAAGGGAAAGGAGGACTGTTTCCCAGGTCCACAGAATCAGTCACTGGAATACTTCATTCTTTTCTAGGTGGCTGTTTTACAGGCTTTTAAACTCCTTTCCTGAAGGCAACTGATTGAACACAGAGTCCACAGACCACAGGCCTCAATTCTGATGATACTTTACAGTTGCCTAATGGTAACCAGAGATATAATGGGAAACTGATATAGAATGGTGTGTACTAAAGCAAAAGGAGAAGGGGAAGATACAGAATAAATCTCCCGCCTCAGCTCCACAATAACACAGAGTGAACGTTCAGAAAACAGAGAAAGGCAATACTAGACAACAGAAGTTGAACAAACTGCAAAGGCATCAGCTGATTCAATCTTGCTGGGTATCAAAGGACAAACCAATAACAAAGGAATCAGTCAGTGCCAAATCTTAATGTCAAGACCTTCTTTTCACAACAATCTATTCTCAAAATATTGCTCCTGGGGAAGAATTCTGTGAGACCCTGGAGAAGAGACATGACTAGTTTAGAGCATATCCCAGTGCCAAAGATATCCTTAACTCCAAACAGCCAGGACGTTTTGGCTCAGAGCAGATCATCCTGCAAAGCTTCTCCAGTAACAGAACAAACTGTGGATTAGGCTGGCTTCTGAATATGGAGGGCAAGGGTAGTACAGGTGATGCTCTACTCCTGGGAGTGGCTTCCATCCAAATAGTAATATATCAGAAATACTGCCTTTTCAGTACCACTTTTGCAGCATTAGATGCACAACATTCAAATCTAATCCTTTTCTTGGAGACGTGCCACAACAATCAACTCCAAGGTACCTGATGAGTGATCAATGAACATGAACTGAAAATATATATTGAAATGAATACAGCGGCAAACAACTCAGACTAAACAAAAACAACAGCTGTCTAAACAACTAATCTAACATTACATTGCTTACTCTTATGCTAATTATAGAGCAAAAAGCTAATGAAGAAAGGAAACATGTCAGTAAACCCAAGTCACTGCTTTCCACAGGCTTTGTCTCAAAGGAGTACATGTATCTCTACATAAGAGCCTCAGCACTCTACATAAGAGCCTAAAGTTCATTTTTCAACTATTCAGAAACCTACATGATCCAGTGCCATGACTTATTTTATAAAGGACAAGTGTACCTTTACAGTCTTGCATCAAAATCTTAGGATGACACAAAAGAAATAACTACTGGATGCATGGAAATCTGCACTACAGCTGAATTACTTAAACTTTCCAGATTAACAGTGTAAAATCATTTTTAAAAATTTAAGTGCTCTCCCCTGAAAGGCACATTAGGGTCATTAAAAAGTTAATTCGATATTACTCATGCACAACAAACAGTAATTTTCAGCTTGAACAGAGACTGCTTTCTGACAGCTTCCCAGCTGGTAAGCGACACAACTCAAAATTATTTAATGTAATAAAAAACCCTGCACCTCTCCTTTCAAGTTCCACATCCTTTTCCCTGACCTGTCAAGCTCCAATTGGAAAACCTGCTTCAATGACAATTATGATTCACAATCTAGACAAACAACACACAAGTAACTATGATAGCTAAATCTACATTTTAAAGTCCTGATAGGCCCTTGGGACAAGCCTGGTAATAATTCTGTTGTGCATGTTATAGTGTTCTACTAGGCTACTATATTCAAACAGTTTACATATAATGGTGTAGAACGACCACTAATTGACCACACCACCATTAATCTGGTCCTTTTTCTGCCACTTGGCACCATCTGGAGAAGTAGTGGAGTTCACTGGCTTAGTGTTAGGGAGGTCCCTTTTCACTCTGAAGTAAAACCTGATGGAGGACAATAGCAAGGACAAGCTTTGCATAGAGTATGTTTGTTTACCATTTTTTCCTAACCCTCTCTTTGATGGTTAAAGGGAGATGCAAATCTTTCATCTCTTCCTTTTTGATCCTGCAGTGAAGTCACAAAGAGTGAATATAAGAAATGCCATATTGTCTCAGAGCACAGGTCCACAGCCCAGTATTTGTATCTCAGTGGCAGGGAGTGGGTGCTAAGGGAGTGCATTCAGAAGATCATTTTGTTGCCATAGGAACAACTATTTATAAACTTAGTGTTCAGCAGCAGCAGCAGCACCATGGGCATTATCAGATCAGCTTTCATCAGCACACGGGTAACACTACTAGCCAAGATTACTCAAAAAACGGGAATAAAAACCAGTCGGAATGTTCAAAAGGAAGGAAAGAAAGTAAATCAAGCGATGTATCATGTTTTTCTGACTACGACTGTACCTCCACTCTTGAGAAGATAGCGATTAACATCTTGTATGGTGGTATTAATGGTAGGCCCAGTGGGAACACTTCCAGGAGTGACATCAGGATCATTCTCGGGGTCAATATTCTGCAGTCCTTTCCATGGCACCCCTGGATGAAATTCTGTTTTAAAAATAACCAAAGCAAGAGCCTATGAAATCTTATCCTCAAGAGAGAAGGTGCTGTGATTCAGTAAATAAAATGAGCACTTAGATTCAATGACATCAACATTTTTATACTAGTTCTGGTTTTTTACCTGGTGGCCAATTAATGCTGGAGCCATTGGAGATTTTATCGCTATCAGATTTGGCACGTGACCAACTATGAGGAAGGGCTACAGGTGGACTGGCTGGTGACTCGCTGTTTTGGATCAGATCGTACCGGCCATAAGAGTCATCAATGGAGGACTTTCCCGGGGGACCAATACTTAGACCTCCAGGGATAGCACCTGAAATTAATGAAGGAAAAAGACAACTGCTTAGAGGCAGGACTAATTTTTAATCATTCCTTTTCAATTTTACTTACATTTGTAATTATTTCCCTTTGTCTGAATTAAGAAATAAAATTAACAGACACACAGCAAGAATAACACAGCACACTGGAGTCTTCTCTTAGTATTCCTAAAAACTGAATCTGGTAAAAATCTCACTAGCACATCAAAGTGGTCTGGACTGTCAGGATAGCAAACTGCAGTTCAGAAAAGACCTGTCAACAAGCTGGACAATTCAAATGAGTAAGATGATTCAGATGAGGAATTATTGAACAATAACAAGATGGTAGAAATACTTGCAGGCTAAACATTTTTATTAAAATAATTCACGTTGCTATTGACACAACCACAGAACACAGGAACATTTACACAGCACAGCTCTGAGAACTGAACCAGCAACACCAGGCCCAAGGTTTTGGAAGTGGAAATGCAGAGAAAAATTAAAATGCATCACAGATAGTATTTTTCAAATATCTTCAACTACATTCATATCAATACCTTATAACCCAAGTACTAGAAGAAGCTGCTTATGCATTTTCCTGCCAGGAGAGGGGCTAAACAATATAGCCTTCCACTTTGGGTGACTTTTAGTGAAATGAGTTTGACAGTCTCTCCCTAGCTCCCAGTGCATGCATTTCAAAATCCTTCATGCAGGTGGATTCTATTGGCAGTCTGGTTGAGACAGGCTCAATGTAATGTTATGACAAGGGTGACAAGATTTGGACCAAGTTATGTTGGAAAGCTGTGTGAGATGCATGCATAACGCCTGCCACCAAGCACCAACTAGGAAGAGTCTGTTAGTCATTAAACACTCTGTTTGGTGAACAACATTTACAAGATAAAAAAAAAAAAGACTAAGGTTTGAGGCCTGACACAAGTGAGAACAGGGACAAAAGATTCTGTGCACTGCTGAATTTTAAAAAAATAAAAAAGGTAGTTAGCTCTGTTATTCTGAAACCAAGCATAAGGCAAGGCAGGGTGGCACCGCTCCAGAGATGAACTGGTCCAGAGAGGCATAAAATTTCATAGGCAACGTTTTATTTCACCTGATGATACAGGAAAGTCCCGTTACAGACTAGATACTTACCTAGCTGTAGTACTGCATAAGGCAGGGGAGATGGCACCTCTCAATCAGTTAGTTTCTAAGACCTGCCCTGCCTTCTGCAATACTACAACTAGGTTAAATATCTAATTTATAAGGGGACTTATACCAGCTTTTAGTCATCTCTCTAGGAAAGAATACCTGAAATAAAGTCATTGTATACACTTAGAACTTGACTGTCATAATGGCAAACTGGTAAAGAAGGAAGATGCAACATACCATGCTTGCTAGAGTTCTGGTCAAGTGAAGAAGCAGCACTGGACAGATTATCCATCGAGTTGGGGTGTGTCCACTGTGGAAGGCGAGACTGGGACTGAGAAGTATCCTTCACTGACAAACCACCAGTAATGTCCATGCTGTTTACATTCATATTCGGGTTCAGTCCAGCTAATGGGAGAAAGATGGTTAGGGTTCCAGAATACTGTAGATTGTGAATATTTAAAATATTAATGCTTGTTGCTTAATGATCCAGTCAAACAAGTAATGGAAACTTAGATTTCAGTCAGCACTAACACAGAATAATGGTACGCTATTTTGCCATACGCTGGTCTTGACCATCAGAGTGGATTTTACTCACATAAAAAGTGCCAACTTATAGTTTTTGCTAAAACTCTTTGAAATTCAGTAAACACACAAGAAAAAGAAAACCTGGCAGTCATGCATTAAAAATGCTGATGACATGTCTGCTTTTAGTATTCCTAATTGGCCCGGAACAAACTTGCTGGAAGAGTATATTAGAATTAAAAGTGAAAACTAGCGCAGCACTCTGTTACTGAGGCACATTAACCCTGACAACCCTCCTGTGAACCCTTATGTTGGAGAATAAGTGTTTTTGTAACAAACACTTTTTAAAATTGTTACCACACCAGTTACCAACAGCAAACTGCCTTTGCTAATGACAGAGAGTATTGTGTTATTTATAGACATGTAATTATTGAATGTAGAAATTATACAAAAGACTAAATACATATGGATACCACTGTATATTCAAGGGTGTAGGTTGTAGCCATGTTGGTCTAAGGACATAGGCAGACAAGGTTCCTTGGGTGAATTTGATATCTTTTATTAGACCAACCCAAATAGTTGGAGAATAGTTATTAAGCAAGCTTTCAAGTTCAAAAACCCTTCGTCAGGCTAAGGAAGTTTCAGCAGTTGGTGTGCGCTCTTCCTGGCTTTTTTACTTTTCATTCCATCCAGGAAGATGCTAACCCTGAGAATTTCTCTCCACCCTTCTCCTCTGTTGTGTTTCATTATGCTGTGCCTGACTTCCTGTGATCAGAGATCTGATGAAGAACACCTTGCATTCAAAGTCTTGTCTAACTATCCCAACTACACAGCTGGTCCAGTAAAAGATATCACCCTATGAAATCCTTGCCTCTCTTCTATACTGTAATTTAATTTAAAAGGGACACAGGAAATGCCTTACCAGTTCTCCTCTAACAGGCCCTTGAAACTGTTTTTCTCCTTGGGTGAACCAGGTCCAAGAATAATTAACTTAGTAGTTATGATATTTTGCCTCATATTTAGGACTGAGAGTTGAGGAAGACTATTAAGGGTATCAGCTATAAAGTTATTACTATGAGGGGCATGGACCATCATGATTTCGTATAAGCCGTTAAACATGCATTTAAGGAATACACACGTTGTGGATTTTTACTGTATTTTATATATGGATCACAGTAGGTTGCTTAAAATTGAAATAAACACCATACTTTCTCTCTGGTGAGTGGCTGCTTTAATAAAAGAATACTTACCAAGAGGGTAAGGAGCAAAGGTGTTCGGTGAAGACTGCTGCTCTTTGGTCTGCAGGTCAGGGAGGCTGGGAGCCTGGGAATGGGGTGAAAAGCTATCCATGGCTGATTTGCCTGCAGAGGGGTGCAAAGATAGATGTGGAGTGGGAGGCTGCTGCTTCATGAGCAGTGCCTGGGCCAGCTGGCGCTGGTGCTGCTGGATCTGCTGCTGCATGTTATTGATTGTACGTGCAACCTGGTAAAAACAAATGAATAAAATTAACAAATGACAGATAGCACAAAGAAGCCCTGGTCTTGCTACTCCAGTTTCTAAGCAGAAGCAACAATACTCAGGCATTTTAAACCAAACAAATAATGATCTAAGAGTAAGATAGCATTCTTACACAGAAGGGAAACTGAACTGCATTCCATACCACACTAGTCTTTTTTATTATAAAACCATGCAATTTACAGTATTTTTCTTGCATACACCACACCCCAGCATATAATACAAATCTTATTTTTGAAAGGGAGAATCAATTTTTCCAGAGTTACAGCTTCTTAGAGCAAGGACAGAACCTAATCTTGAGCTGACCAACCTTCCCTTTCCTACTCAACTAAAGCTGAACCCCTAGCTGCTCCTAAAGACTGGTCTCCAGGAGTGGATCTATGATTATGAAAAAAACTAAAGAGTCTCCAAGGTGTGAAATAGGAGGACAGAGACTGAAGCAGCTAGCAGACAGCAATATTGCCCTAAGAAAGGTTAGTCTGATTAGTGGAACATCAAGTCCATTAAAAGAGAGAGATGATTGCCAACAATGCTGGAATGAGTAACAATGAGTCGTTAAGTCAACTGACTCCCTCAGCTGTCCGAATAGCAATGAAAGAAATGCTGCACTCTGGAACAGGAATCAAAGAAGGACACTTCTAGCCACATCAGAAAATCTGATTCCCTTAATACATGAATCCCAACTTTGTGGGGTTGAGTTTGGGTGGGAAAGGTGCCTGTTATCTGCAAGAAAATATAGTATTATGGCGTCCTTACGGCTATTTAAACTAATTTGCTGTAATATACTGTATTCTTTTAGAGAAGTGAAACTAGAATTAACATTGAAATCAGGATGGCGGGTTTAAACCTACTTGCTGCTCCTGCTGTCTCATGGGTCCGGAAACATTACGCTGAGCCTGTAACATCTGCTGCTGGATTTGTAAACGTTGGTACGCCTATGGGCAGTAAACAAAGGAGGCAAAGGTCAGATATTAAAAAAAACAAATCAACATTTTAGCTTGAACTGTGGTTGTAAATTACAACACAAAAAGAATCGCTGGGGTGATGCTATAGCCATGATGGTGCAGAGAAATGTGAGAGTTCCATCTGTTATTTAGCCCTGCTGTATCTGCTTCTCCCCAGACACCTGAGGAAGGGCGATACTTGAAAAACTGCGTATGTCCCTCCCAGCTATATACAGTTAGGTCCAATAAAAGGTATTACCAATGAAGAAAAGCAAACGCCAAGATTCTTCTTCTTTCAAAGATGGTTACTGAAGTAAAAGTACTGTACTTGCAACAAACAGCATTTGAAGAGACAAATATCTGAAAATGTTTGCTTTAGAAGCAAAAAATGTTTTCCTTTGAGTGCACAGAATTTTTAAAAAGCAAGATAGCCAATGCTGCTAATGCGTAGGTTTGGCAGCAGTAAGCATTTAATTAAAGGCAGCAATCAAATGTTTCTGCCTGATTCGTAAGAATTAGTAGGAAAAAGGGTAAGAGAAAATTACAAAAAACATTTCACCTACCAGTAAATTAATCATTGTGGCCCACATTGTCCTAACATGAGGTTGAATTTTATTGCATTTGGTCAGATTAAGACAAAAACCAAAAACTGCATAGCAACAAGTATTAATGCCCTTCCTGATATCAAGGTGTCCATAAGCTGTTCTACCATTTTAAAGGGGTTGGATAAGGAGTAAGGCATTATAGTGTAAGAAGCTGGCTGAAAAGTTTCAAGTTTCAGAGATTTTTTTCAAGCTCTATATACCAGTTATTGATATATATACAAATCCCATGTTCTTCCTTAAACCTGTGAAAGATGGTGACACACTAGTTTTGGTAAACAAAGACTGTAACTGTTGATGGGGGTAAAGAACTGGGGGGGGGCGGGCAGCAGTGTGGTCACACCCCCTTCTGGCTATGCAGGACAAGTGCAGCAAGGTCCCTGAGCTCACTGGCATGTCAGGCAACTACTGCCAGAGCTCTGTATGTGCAGTGAGGGATGAGCTCACTAGCTGATCGGAATGGGCTCCAGCTAGAGCCTCTGCTTTCATGCAGCTCAAGCCTGGGCAGGGGGCATAAGAGGAGGAGGGAGGCGTTACTGCTGCTACTCATCCCCTGTATTTTCTCAGGCCACTGAATTCAGTGGGACAGGGGGAAAGGAGGACAAATGGTGATGGTGCTCTCCCCAAGGGCTCTGGAGCCATGCAAAAAGCAGGAGCTCTGGCCAAAGCTTACACTGATTAGCTGGTAAGCTCAGAGCTTATGACCCATATGGTGCTCTGACATGAGATGCACTGACAAACAATGAGCACAGTTTACTGCACATGCACTGCAGCTCGAGAGGGTGTGGCTGCACCTCCTCACCACCACCCTGGATCTGTCCCATAACTATAAGGGATTTCAGAGCATTAACATCAGTACTTCTAAAAAAAAAATAGTAGTGTGCGCCATCCTTCATAAAACATCTGTGGCTTTTATAATGTATGTAATTCTCAAACATTTGTAAATAAAATGCCACCAAGCAACACATTACTTTTGCTTAAGAACATGCTATATTACCCACATCAAAATGAAGACAACTGACTTGCTAATTATAGTTACCAGCATGAAACAACCAGTGTCCCCAGTATTAAATGACAATTCAGAAAACTAGTCACTGTAATGACTGAGGATTATCAGAAAAAAACCCATGATTATTTATTAAGTACCAAGAAATTAAGAAGAAGTAATTTTTATCAAAGGAATAACTGCTTGATATTTTTAAAGCATTATCCCTTCTGTTTTTAAAATTAAGATGGCAGGTCTCTTTTTCTAAACTCCAGATGCACTTTTACAAAAATACCTTCAATAATAATTTATAGCTTATTTGCTTTGCTTTTTAACTCACCAGCTGCAGCTGATAGAGCTGGTTCAACATCGTCATATGCTGAGGATTAATTGGCGAGGTTAATAGTGCAGGGTTGAGACCAATGTTTTTTGCTGCAAACTGCAAAAGCTGTGCTTGAACCTGGGGACATGAGAATACAACATACATATATACATACGTATATACATACATATATGTATATGTATACACACACACACACACACACACACACACACACACACACACACACACACACACACACACACACACAGAGCATATCACTGCCTGCAATGAAGATGATCAGTAAGAGCCACAGATTAGGAACAAAATAGATTTACAATTAGGGTGTCACCAGTTTTAGGAGCTTTATATCAAATATAAAAACTTTAACAAGAGGGTAACATTACAAACCTCAAATATTACCATGAAACTAACTTCTCTGAAAGATGCAGAAGTAAAGAAAATATAATGCTTTTTAATGGCTTTTCTATATTATAATCTGTGCTGGTTCATTCAACCATCTAGGCATTCTGTTAGCCAACTTCATTATTTAATGTTTTCTTCACATTGAAAATATTTCTACTCTGTGTAGTCTCATCACTATGAAACATAAATATACAATTTTCAGTAGTATGCAATTCAAGCTAACCTGAGGGGATAGAAACTGAGGCACTTGAGCACGAAGACTAGGCTGGGATGAGTTAAGAGGTTGCACTGGCGGTTGCTGCGGCTGTTGCATGGTCCTGGCTTGTGCTGCTCCGCTATTGCCAAACATACCCAGATTGCCACTTGGTATCTATAATATACAAGAAAGATGATTGCAGTTAAATACAACATACCACAGACTCTGTGACAGTAATGTACCTGTGCTATTTTTTCTTTCAAAAACCACGACTGGCATCGACAAAGAAATTACCATATAATGCCTTCTATCTGTATGGGAGAAGTTTTATTGAAAATATTATTTAGAATTTGGCAATCAAGAGCACTTATATATGCAGTACAAGAGTTTTGTGCAGATGTTGGAATGGCACCAAAAAGCTGACTATTTTCCAAAATAAGTATGCATGATTTTAGAATGTCATCTAAGGAATGAATGACAAAGTATTTGCCAACTATATTTATGTGTACACGTGAAAAGGCAGGAGAATGAAATTATTAAAACTCTAAAATCCCAAATGATTACATTACTGAAGAAATTTCTATTTGGCTCTAATACATCTTTACTTTATACAGTTTGAAATAGATGTGCTATCAGTGCAGTCATTGCTTTCCAAAGATGTGCCTTATGAGTTGTAGGTCCTGGACAGATATTACCTCCAGGAAAGTAGTTAAGAAGATTCCATCATACTCAAGCTAACAATATTAAGTCAAAACCACTGTAGAAGGATAGAGAATTTTATTGTGTAAAATCTTTTTCCTTTGCTGCTATTTCAGTTTAAATGGCAAAGCTATTTTCCTCATCATCAGGCACTGTACGACCTCACAATTACTTTGTTCATGATGAATATTCCTTTCACCCCTTGGTGAGGATCTCTATTTCCCCTCCTTTTTTCTCAGTCCTTCAAACACTCTTCTCACAAGGCAGATGAAAGATAGCTTCCTCCATGCTCTTTCGGTCACCTAGAGGTGCTCACTAACGATGTAGTAAGTTAAGAGTCCTTCCCCAGCAGTTGCAGTAGGGCAAATGTATGACCCTCCACCCTACCCAAACTGTATCATTAATGAATTAGCCAGTGAGGGCTAATTAGAAGAAAGATTCTGTTTTAAATAAATATTAGAACAATCAGCAGTCTCAGAAATAAAGAAACAATGTCAATTTTTTGTGGTTTAGTAAAATTTACCATATATGTGTGGCTGAAGTTCTTCTGTACTTCAAAGAACCTTGCTCAGTATAAGCCCATAGGGACAGGCAAATAAATACACAGATGCAGGTAAATTTCACGTTAATGCTGATTATGCACTGTGGCCATTTAAGGGAAAGGTTTACAAAGCAGGTAGTTTCTTCTGGCATTTTATGCAAACATCTGTACTTATTTTCAGTTTATATCACCATTTCCAAAAGGGAAGAGACATCTCTCTAGCAGTGAGTTCGAGAGAGATGAAATTCAAATTGTGATCTCTCAGAACCTCCTTACCTGTCTAGAAGAATTCAAGTTTTGCATGCCCAGCCCTGAGGCAATCCCGCCCAGGGCCTGATTAGGGAGTGCACTGTTTGAAAGGGGGAGCTTCAGGCTTGGTGAAGGCAAAAATGGTGAAGTAGTGGGCTCTTCCACTAGGCCGCCATCCTGATTGGAGAAAGAAAGGGTGAGCTGCGTGCAGTGCCCACAAGTGGACAGAGCACAAACCAGTTTTCCCATGGAAATATAAAGGGGCATGGATGAATAAAAGATCAAAATAGTTTAAAAAGAAAAAAAAAGGCATGAGCAACAGGAAATGAAAAGTATGGGGTGGAAGGAAGAAGAAAAAGAGAAATAGGATTAAGGAATTGTTCTTTCTTTTTTTTTTTTTTTTTTTTTTTTTTGCAAATGCACAAATTCATGTTCATTCTCAAACACCCACCCAGTATAAATAAAGAGTGGTGCCATGTTTCAAATCTGCTATCAACAAAGTAAAACACATTTTCTGGCCTTGAAGGCAAAAACCCCCTGTGAATCCGACTGCTTTCACTTCCCCTATTCTCTCCTCTCTGGCAGCACAACAAATGAGGGTACAGGGGCAGCAAGTTTTAGAAAACTTGGTCTTTTCTCCAATCTGTGGTACACTGTCAAACAGCACAAACGAGAGACAAGCACTTTGGAAAATGTGAAGCTAGGAAGGCCAGATGAGCTCATTTTACATGTTCTTTAACAGAATGTCATGGGATCACTAGTCTGGTGTCAGTTCCAAATCAGACCTCAGCTGTTCAAAAAGTATATTTGCCTCAATCCTCCTTCCCAACCCTGTTTCAACTGGATGGCAGGTTTGTAACCTAGTGCTACATTAACTTACTAATTCTCACAACTAAATTCTAGTATTTAGCAAATATACAGAACTTGGAAAAAACGTAAAGACTAGTTATACTCTCTGTGTGTGGACTCCCTAGTTGTGTGACTGAAGTGCTGCCCCCTTCCGTAAGGCATAAAATCAATGCTTAGCAATAAGAAAGATGTCTGGTGTCTAGCATCACAAAAGGCAGCTGTAAGAAGAGAAGAGTGTAGAATTTATGCACAGTGTGATAGCTTACTTTGAGAAAGGAAAAAAAAGCTTTTTTTAGGGCTTAGTGAGACAAGTACAGAAACTGGCATATAACCCCCACCTAGACTGGGCTAGTCATTACAGTGGAGTACTTAGTTGCTAATATACTTTAATAGCTGGCTTATATGGTAGAAATCTGTGCCCTAATATATCCAATCAGTCAGAAAACTGCTAAATATTAAGGAACATCCTTTATCCATAAAATAAACCAATCCTTTAACCAGACACCCAAATAAATGACCTAATACACTGTCATTTTCAGTAAACTATGTTATAAATTAATCCTGTAAAAATGTGTTTTCAATTGCTGCCTTTTGATGCAAAGAAAAAGTTATTTTATGATCAGCCAAACTGACACTTGACTTGGTGTTTGAATATCTTGAGGGGGATACTGACATTTTCTAATGATATCCCGAAGGCCTTTCAGCTCAAGATGTTTTACATTCTACTGGACATCAGTCACACTCCACAAACAACTGCAGCTTGCATGACAGTAACAGGTTCAAGGCTTTCTCCTCTCTAGATCATGGACATATGTTTGCAATCTTTTCTTTTTTTCTTGACCCTGTACTTGGGGAAGTTACTGTAGATTTGTGTATTCTTTCTTTTCGGTGCCAGCATCCCTTATACAAACAGAAGCCTAGCACAACTAGTATGGGCTGACAAAAAAAAAAATATTACCAAAGAGACTGCCACACTTCCCTCCTCATTTAAAAAATGTCTAGTGAATAAAGTGCTGATAAAATGCATTAGAATGACTCCACTGGAGACTTACAGAACAAATTCAGCCTGCTTACTTATAGCAGCAGCTGCCCAGAACTTCCTCACTACCAAACTGAAGAAAATCTATTTCCTGGTTGTTCAGTAATCATACTCATTTGCCCCTGTAGTTTTTTTTTCCTGAGACTTCCAATGCAGCTGCCACATGTAATGTAAGCATTTATCGTCTAGAACTGAGATCAACTTACATCAGTGATCAATAATTTCTTTTGGTAATTACCAATCTAGAATTGGCTGGATTTGTACTGATAACCTAAAGGTTTACAACTCATTACTAATCTCCAGGATCCAGTTCAAGCCTAATTCCCATCCCCAAGTCCATTTCTGATATTTTTTTAAGTAAGTGTTTTGTTCCCCTCCAATTTCAACCATGCCTCCTATCAACTTATCTGATTTATTTTATGCTTGGCCTACCAAAACCTCTGAAATGGAGTAAGTTTCTGAAAGGAGAGGAAAAGACTAAATTCCTAAGGATAGGTTAATAACCTTTCCATGTCTGTACAATGAAGAACCAACCCATAACTCGTGTTCCTCAGTAAAGATCATTACTTCTAATTCTTTGAAAATATCTGATAGAATTCTCAAGTCTCATGCACCATGTGAGAGACAAGAGAAATCATTTTACCCTGTTTTTTCAGGCCTCTGAGATACTGATAGCTCAGCACAAGATTCCCTCACACTTCAGTGGTCACAGAGTAACAACTAGCACTATCTGATCCCAAAGAGCCTTCAAGAGTCCTGAGACTGCAAAAAAAGCCAAAGCTTTTTCCACAAGCCAATTATAAATGGGTAAAGTAGACTATTTTTAAAAATGCAAATCCCATCCTCTTAAAGAAAGTAAAAATTTTACACCTATAAAACTGAACAGATATGGAAAGAAAAACCACATCAATCCTAAAGGTGGGTGTGTGAGAATCCGGCAAGATGGTATGCTCAAAGATGCAACTGTGACTTGCCTCACAATATTTCCATTCTTGGAAACTAAGGAAGTTCAGTGAGGCTTGAGAGTAAAAACAATAAACACTTGAGAGTGATGATGCGTGAATGGATGGTGGAATGAAGGAAATGTACATACACGCGCGCGTGTGTGTGTGAGATAGGGTAGGGTAAAAAAAATCTTTAAAAGCCGACAAATAATCATACGGGTGCAAACAAAGGTCCTCAAAAAGACAACCCCACCCCCCCAAAAAAACCTGTCCAGCTCATTTGACTGACCCATTTGGAATGGGATGGCAAGAAGACTATATAAGGCTGAAGGAACTAGTTGACATTCATGTTAAAAAAACAGGTATTAATAAAGGCAATGAGGAAAGAGGTTTATGAAAGAAGCTAAATGTGGAAACTGGGCATCAAGCCTTGTGATGTCAGAGGCTTTAATGAAAGAGGAACATTTGCACTGAAGAGGAGAATGAATTTGGAACGGACAATTTCACATGGTTTTATATATGCTCAAGAATACAGACATCACGGTGGAGACTTGGAACTGAGCAAGGACAGAAGATTAGTAGTGCAGATGGAACAGTGTAGGAGTGGGGATAAGGTGGCAAAAGGCGAAGAAATGAGCCTTCCTGGATGTCAGTGAAGTTGATGGAGAAAGCTGACCACACAGGCTTGAAACTGATGCCATACGAAGCAAATGATGTCCAATCAATATCATATCTTCTGGCACTGCTTTCAAGGAAATGACTAAGCCAGGCTATTAGTTTTCTTCAATGTATCAACCTGTCTTCTGGCTATGTACACCCAATATTCCAAAAATTTCAGAAGAACTAGTTTTGTAATAACAAGCTGTCTGACATAAATGCCAGGATCAAAGCTCAGGTATCCTGAAATGCAATGCCGTAAGTTGGCAAGACTTTCTTCTAGCAAAACCTTGACCATTAAGCTTTCAATGTGGGAAGCAGATGACTTGGCCCTTTGTAAGATGCATTCTGAACTTCACCAGCTGCGACAAAGAAATACACTTGACTGGGATAGTTTAGTCAGGGCTGATTCTGCCTTTAGCAGGGGGTGAGGACTAGATGACGCCCTCTGGCCCTACTTTCTTATGATCTCTGGTGTTGAAAAAGTAAGTCAGAACAAAGTTTCAAGGCACATATTTGGTTACATAAGCTATTGCTATTCCAAAGAAAATGAGGAAGAGAGCACATCCAGCGTATAACATCACAATAAGACATTAAAGTTCTGGAAGTTACCACACCCAATACAGAGGGCTGAGAAAGGATCTGAACAAGTTTTTCAAAGAAGTGGTAAGCAGTGATAGTACTGTGGCCCAAATCAGAGAGCCAAAGCTATGGGCCACAGTGCCCAAGTAAAAAGAGCTGACAGGCACACAAGCAATACAAGTATTTAGTAAGCTACTAAAGACTCAGAAAAATTAAACCAAAAGTATAGCCACTGAGGCTGCTTGTAGACATTAAAACAACAAAACAAAACAAAAAATAGTGCTTTAAACTTGGTGTGTTCCCATACCAAGCCTAGCACATGCCCAGAAGAGGCAGCATATTAGTTGGACCTGGCTCACCCAACGTCTGTACAGTCCGGGCGCTTTAGTGGGGCTTTTTCGGCCCTTTCACCTAATAGGTGATTGACTCAGCTTAAATAAAAGTGCCAAAAAGCCCCGCTGAAGTACCTGATCTATACAGATGCTGCGGAGCATGTGCTACTTGCTATATGTGCTACTTACTTTAGTAAAGCACGGTTTTTTTGGGTTTTTTGTTAACATCTGCAAGCAGCCTACATTGACAAAACAATCAAAGACAGGGCTGAAGCAGAAATGGACTGAAGATCTCAGTTCAGTCATGGCAGGGGACTGGGTGACTTGACCACAAACAAGGAAGGACACCCTGGTTTGAATGATTTAGAAAATATCTCAGGGGGAGGGAGGGTGGGACTCTTAAGCAGATGAGTTGCATGAAATCCAAGCATGAAAACAGGTAAATATATATTCTGGATTGGATCACAATGGAATTTTCTCTTTGTTAAAGAAGAAATTGTGACAGATCATTCCTATACCGAGTTTTTACCTGCTGTATAAATATTGATATTTTACTACTTAGCACATGTTATACTTAACACATTTTATATTATACATTAATGAAGCATATATCTGGCCTCCCTCTCTGGTAATGATGTAACTGCTCCTAGAAAGGAAATGGTTAATTGACATACATCACATTGTCTCACATACAACATGCCCCTGAATACACACCTGGTTTTTGAAAGGCAGAATGGAGGAAACATTTTTTTTCCCCAGACTTATGGTTGCACAGAGCAGGGACAGAGCCTTAATCTTCAGCTGACTTGCTCTCCTTTTCTTAACTAAAGCTGAACCCCTAGCTGTTCTTGAAGCCTAGTCTCCACGGATGGATATATGATTTTGAAAGTCTCAAAGAAGATAGGAAGAAGAGACCAAGAGCAGCTAGCAGACAACAAAATTGCCCTAAGAAAGGTTAGCTTGATTAGTGGAACATCAAGACCATTAAAAAGGAGAGACAATCATTAACACCAATGGAGTGAAGGGCAATGAGCCATGAACTCAACTACCTCTCTCTCAACTGCCTAAATAGTAAAGCAACAGCTGCTGCACTGTAGAGCAGGAACCAAAGCCAGGTACCTCCGTCTCTGGCAGAAAATCAGCTTCCACACTTAATACACACCCGGTAATTGTGGGGAGGGGGGTGATTTTTGGGGGAAAGGTTTGTGTTGTATGTGAGAAAATACAGTATGTATTAATTGTATATACATGATCATAGGAAAAATTATTTAATTAGCATATTAAGGCTTGCCACAAATAAATAGACAGTTGTTAAGAACCGATAATTATTTTAAGCTGAGGGATAGAGAATAGGAAGAAAGAAGAGCCAAGTGAGAAAGACATTCAAGAAAAGGGGAAGAATGATATAATAGACCCCATGCCATTTCTGATATGAAAGTAAGACTTGGAAGAACAAAGCGGCATTCTTAAAACAAGCCAGTGCTTTGCTAATATACATTCAGTGAGAGGAAAACTGCCATGACTCTAAACTGAAGCACTGACACAAGGTTTCTGATGTGGAACTGAGGCAAGCTCAAAGCATGTAAGGTTCCTTTGCAATTAATTTTACTTTACAATTTGAGTCTTGGTTTATAGCCAGCAGCATTTTTAGCCACAGTAACAGATGGTATAGTTCTGTACCTACAGTCATTTGTTTAATTTTTGTTTTGTTTTGTTTTCTCATAATCAGACCTTCAGCAAAATGTTTGGACTCAAAAAAAGCAAAAATAGAATTAATGACCTACAATAGTTGCCAACATTTACCAATTGTTAAAATGTTGGACTGGAATGTGAAATAGCACATTCATTTTCTATTCACGATATAGGGAAATACTGCAGGATCTCAGATCCAGCCATCTTTCATGCAACATCTTTCTCAGAATCCCAACTTTTCAATGAAGACAACAATAGAAAAGAACTGCAATAGTACAGAAAGGTGCAAAGCTGAATGGTTCCTCGGACTAGTAGCACACTCCTTTTCATGTTTAAAGGGCTGGTTTTAATCTAGCCTGCATTAATAAGACTAGATGTCATGACAGCTCCCACCCTGTGAAGAGTCTATGTGAAATGAACCGCTTTTAGGACATTTGCTAGAATATACTAGTACCACATGCCACCCTCCCCGACCATGCCCTCTGCCCCAAGTTGGCACCTTTAATGGAGTTTCAAAGGGCTTAAGAAATACATGGGTGAGGAATCTGAACTATTTTTTTTCCTCAGTAGTTCCCCCAGAGGGGACTGAAGCATTGTGAATTTAATGGTGCCACCGTTTAAGAGAGCTACAGTCTACAGAACAGTTAACCCGTCCCTTTCCAGAGGTTGACAGCTCCCTAGAGGAGCTGTGAGAACGGACGTATTGTAGGCTTGGTTCAAGGAAGGGGCAAAAGGAAACCCTGATGATCATCTACATTCAGTGCACCAGGTTCAACCTCTTTCCTGCCTCTTCCAGAAGCTCCTTATAAAGTTATGTTTTCACTTCTCCTCACATTCTTTCTTTTGTGCATTTCATATTTATGGCACCACCAAATATTGGGATCTCTCAGTAATTTTTTCTGGCACTGGTCAAAATGGCCATAGGCGAGTCTTAAAATCTATTTGTGGTCTTTTCTTGGCTCATTTATATTGACACTGCAAGCAGTGTCCACAGACTCCTTGAACTTATTTACACATTTCTGTTTAGGGTTCTGTGCTCAGTGCCCTATCCATGTTCCTTATTTTTAGACTAACACTTTCACTCAGATTTCTTTTTATGTAATATCCATCCCATGAAATTAGCTGACCTCAAGTCTCCAGACCTTCCTTCAACTGAATGCGCAGAGCCTTTAATTCTAGACTCTGCTCACTTTTCCAAGACAAATAAACTGGCCAATACCATAGGCATTAAATTCACACAAGTAAAACAAAGAAAGAAAAGGAAAAATAACGTGACAAGACAGACACATCTGTAAATTCATATCTATTTAGATGTCTGTGCTAGACACCAGAAATCTGTAGCTCTTTCTAAATTCCAACCTGTTTGTCTGTAATTATAACTCATATTTTTGAATTTACCTTGTCAAGGAAAGTGGGGCGGTCCATGGAAGACTCTTTGGAGATTGGTGGTGGGCGGCAGCCAAGGGGTTTGGTGACCATTCCATTATAATCGGTCACTCCCATTCCACGCTTGTCCATTTCCACCTTCTTTTCCAGCAGAGCACCTGCACAGAAATGAAGATAATAGAAGAGAAAAGGTGATGCAAAAGCAAAGCAAATATACAAACACTCCACAACCTAAAACAAAGCTAGAGATTATTTATATACCTATTTAAATCAATATTCAGTTTACATAGAAAACTAAAATACATTTTATCATTGAAAACATAATTGTGGGTTTGACGTACAATGCTAATTTAAATGGATCAGATCATTTCCTGACATGCCCTTAAAGAAGAAGACTTACTCATGGCCTGATCAAGATTCATATTGTTGCTTTTCAAGGCCTCTTCTGCTGGTTCTCTCTGTAAACAATAAAGATTTGGTTATAATTGTGCTTCAAGCTAAATGTAAACACATTTTACAGAACTCCAGGCCAACTGGGAAGTTACATGAGTCTTTTAAGTCTTGGGTATAACACTGCCACTTATTACCATACTTATTTGATTCTAAGATGAGGTTTCTTCCCCCATTTAACATGGGGGGGAAAAGCCCCTTGTCCTAGAATCAGGTATGAGGGCAGTGATGGGGCAGGTAGCTGCTGTAGCTCAGGTTCCAGCCCTTACCCAGGACTGGGGCTATAGCCACAGTTGCTGCCTGCCCTTTTGCCTACCCTGGACCCGCTACCTCTGCAGCCTGCCATGTCCCCACTGCAGCTTCTTCCCCCCACCATTTCCCCACACTCCCATGTAGTCTCTGCTCCCTGACCTGCCCTTCTCCCATCACCCTTACCCTTGCTTTCACTGGCAGGCTCTGTCATGCTGCAACCTAGGGCACAGAGCATGGCCCCATGCAGTCAAGCACAGCCTGCACAGCTGCTATGGGGGCTGGGCCTGTGCTCAGTGCCCCAGGCTAGAATGGGGACAGAGCCTGCTGGTGTGAAGCAAGGGTAAGAGGGGGGCAGGGAAGTGAAAGTGGGGAGTAGAGGCTAGGGAGGAAAGGGGGGAACAGAGGCAGGGTGGGAGAAGGGCAGGATAGGAAGCAGAGGCAAGCTGCTGGACATCCCCACACCACCGGCCCACCGCACTGCCTGCCTCCTTGTAATAATGGGGGGATGTATTAAAGATGACCCTCCATTACTTAGATTCTATACTGTACATGTAAAACTGTAACAAATTTTCCATGTATAAAATCTAATTATTGGGGGGCACATTTAATTCAGGGTTGTCTTAGATTTAGGTAAAGATGGTAAGTGACATTTTTATACACAATTTTTCTGCTTTTGCAAATAATGATGAGTTTCACACACATCTTTGGCTTGTATCAATTGGCCAATTGCATATCTGCTCTAAAAATGTAAATAATTTCCTCCTTATATTTAAGTCTACAACTATTCACTGTTTGGCAGTGAATTTTCAAATCACTGTCAAACACCTGGCTCTCATAAACACATTACTCCCAATTTCATTTGTTTGGGAGAGGCTGGGGAAAAAGAAAAGGGTCTATTATAAGCTCAAACTAATACCCAAGTTTAATAAAACAGAAACTTTTTAAAGTGCTGCTAGATTTGTCAAAGTTAAATATGTCACTTTTCACCCTTTCTGGAAGCTTCTGAAACGATATAGAAATAAATGGGCAAATGCAGTTAAAACTCCCAAACCTGATTTCCCTTTTCGGCAAGACCAATGATCGTATCTGCAATGCAAACGGTTAAAAATATATTTTCTCAGCTACAAAAACCAAGCCACAAGACAGGTTGGATAAGAATATTACTCACTGGGAAGCCCATGTCTGTGAGCTGTTTTATCAGACGGTTCATTATCCAGGCCTCATCTTGCTTGCTAGATGTCTTCATGCCCTGGGTAAATAAATTGGAAATACCATTAATTGTCTATTTTCCATATTCATAGCAGTGAGAGGCAGCCAAATCCACGGCAGGTTTCCCTTATTAATACTGCATGTTGCTTCAGGGTGCATTTGTACAATATTTATAACATATACATGAACCCCACAAACAGGATATAATTACACTTCTCTTTCCCCAGAGGACGTGACACAAATTTTACCTCATCTGATCAGGTGTTGTAAAGAACTACTTACTACCTGATTTGCTGAGCAATAAACAAAGCTACCTTATCTCAGAATATCATTACTTCATTTCATTTCTCTGCGGGATAACACAATGGAGTCAGAATTTCTGAAATAGTATAAAGCTTCCTCAAAATACTCTAAAAATTGTATTTGCAAATGTAAAGATAAAAATCTGTCAGTCTCTATTCAGGCTAGTCACTGAACTGAAGAGTGAAATAGATATCTTTAGTAGAACTCTCAACAACTTTTTCCTCTAAAAACCTGATGTGCAGCTCTCCAAATGATCAGACAACAAATAGACACCTACTAAAGGGGTTAGTCACAAAAATTGCAATACCTGATCAATCAATGGTCCATATAGCAGAATTGGCAGAGTAATTAAACAACCTTTGTATATACAAACTATATTCCTAACCCCTTTAGAGCAGAAGTTGTCTTATGTTTTGACATAAGGATTATTTTTTCTCATGTGATTAAAAAACAATCTTAACATAAATATGGGTATTAATGTCCACCATGGGCCAGCTAATTTTTTCCTTTATTCTCACACTTGCAACACAAAGCAGATATTTTTGCTGGACTTTTCCTTGACAGTCCAAAGCCTAAGCAGATGTTCAGGAGGCTTCCACCATGATTTTGCCTTTTTTTTGGTAGTATTATGAACCTGTAGTATTAACAAGTTCATAATATACAGAAATTTGTAAGACACAAAGGAAACAAATGATAAAAACCGAAATATCAGACATAAGAAAAAAAATAAGAAATCCCACCCCTGGAAACATCCTGCAAATTCATCCATTCTAGACACAACTCTATTGCTGGAATAGATTACAGCGACAGTGGAATAGATTACAATTAATGTGAAATGGGGAAACATTTTATTATCCACTGTTTAGTATTCTGGGGCTGGTAAATGGCAGCTTTTACTTTAGTTACCAGAACAAGTGTTCAGACATCCATTTCCCCACAATTACTGCACACATATTCATCGTTCATAGAGGGAGAGAAAGAGAGAAAGAGGCTGCTTGTACACGTGACAGGGGTTTAGTCCCCTAAACTGAAATGGTGGGTTTTTAATTGCGACAATTAAAACCCACCATTTCAATTTAGGGGCTTTCCTCACTGTTACAGTGAGGGGCCTGGTCCTTTTTTTCCCCCCTTGCAGAGCCTGTCCACCTCTCCCACAGCTGGGGTGGGGGCGAGCTGCCGGCAGAGCATCCGCTGAGCTGCGGGGAGGTCGGGCCTTCCCTCTGTGGTACTGGCGCACCCTGGGGCCGCCTGGATGGGCTGCTAGCAGGTGGGTGCTGCTGCTGTAAAGGGAAGGTCTGGGGCCCCCTGCAGCTTGCCCCCCCGGCCACAGGAGGGGCAGGCAGGCTCCGTGGGCGGGGGGGGGGGAAGGAAAAAAGGGACCAGGTCCCTCGCCACTTAATTTTTTTCCTCTCAACGGAGCCTGCCTGCGCGAGCTGCTGCTGGGCCATGAAGCCCTTGAGCTGCGAAGGGGCCTGGTTCTTCCCTCTGTGGCAGCGGCACCTCCCAGGGCACCCAGGTGGGGTGCTAGCTGCGTGGGTGCTGCCCCAGCTTGCAGGCAGCACCTGCCAGATCCAACTCTGCCCCAAGCCCACATGATGGAAGTCCGCCAGATGCTGCTCCCCTCACAGGCTCGGGGAAGAGTTGGATCCAGTGGGTGCTGCTGGAAATATGTTTATAAAGAAAACATATAACATATGTTGCCAGAACTTCTGCACTCTAACTGTACCCATTTCCATAGCCGTTTCTTATCTTAGTCCTACCTTTGGAAGTCCTTTCTTCGGGGCATTCCCCCAGGAATTACAGGAGGAATTGCTCTCTTGTGAAGCAGTATTATTCCACATATCTCCTTCTTCATCTTCCCACTGACTAGTACTGAGATTCACTTCATCCCCACCACTGCCCCAGCCTTCTTGCATAGATTTTGAAGCTGGGAAGAAAGAAATACTTCTAGTAATTTTCTCTGTAGACTTTAAACACTTAAGTTTACAGATAGATTCGTTCATACTGTATTCATTACCTTAGCAGCCAAACATTTTTCCAAGTAATACAGGTTCTTCAAAAAGCTTAATAAACATTAATCTTTAGTTCTCTTCCCATAAGTGGGAGAGAAGGGGTGAATAATAACAATAAAAAAAATATTATTATTATTATTGTGGGGAATGTAGCAAACAAAGGTCTTGTTTTTATCCTGAAGACAGCGATATCTGTGTTAATTCCATTCTCTTAAGAAATATAGTTCCAAAGCCGTGCCCAGCCACTAAACATACATATTATCTCCTCCTCTTGTGGATCTTAGCCTTCTAGCTAACAGTCTTGTCCCTGAGAAAAGCAGTTGAAAATAGCGGCTACAACTATGTGCCGCTGCTATTTGTCCCTGGAGAAACACACTCCAGGGAGCTCATCTGGAGGCTTCCACTAAATTTACCTGCTTTTCATCTAGTTAGTGACTAGATCGACATAGCTGTTCACATTTTATGAGTGAGATAAGAATTAAGCACATTTGCGTTTGAGCTTACAGTTCCCCCTTCTGTATATCTTTAGCAGATTATTCATAATTGTGTACCAAGGATACATATATATTCAATACCCAATAACTTTGAATCCTAGTGTAAAAATACTATGACATTTTCTAAATCACAGTTGAAACTAAAAAACATCTTAACTGGACAAAGATACGGGAACCAAATATTACTGAAAAATGCATGCTGACTATCTCCCACTTTCTATCCCCCTCCCCATTCAAAATAACACTAATGCATGCATTTATTTACCTGGTTTGCACAGTGCTGGGGCAGCAGCTGGAGCACTTGTTCTTCCATATGTCCCTGCCGACTCGGCAGAATTATCTCCCCACCCCGCACCACTGCTGGGGGGTTTCCCCCATGCTGAAGTGCCATTATCAACTGCAGCAGAAGGGGATGAGGGCTCTCCCCAAGAAGCGTCAGTCTTTGTGTGGACAGCAGGCATCTCTCCCCAGCCTGCTAAAACAGGAAGAGAGGGGGGAAGGGGAAAAAAATAAATCAAACTGAGAGAAAACAGAAAAGAAATAGAAGAACCACAACAGTTTCCTTTGCTGAATACATTTCCAGCTACAACTATCATTAAAATGGCTTTTTTTGTTGAGAGCAAAAAGCAGCAGGGCAGACACAATGGATTTAATTAGGCATGTAAAAAAATCCATTTGACTTGCTCTCAAATTTCTTTTTCTTAATTGAACTTCATGATATGCATTTGTCAAGACTGAATCATTTTTACCAACTGCATTTAGGCAGATGGGCAGGCAAGTTTATCCACACGGCTTTACAAATGTATCCTGGCCCTGATCTGGAGGTACCAAACCCCTTCAAAGAAAAAACAGCTCCTTAAGCAGCACCTGAATTGAGACATTAATCTCGGACAGTAAATGTAGGGGTTTGGGCGATCCCACACTCCACTAGGTAAATTTACAGAACACTGAAAATGTACACAACCAGGACTACAACTGAATTGAAAGGTTTCTGTGATATGAATTTAAGTTCTTTTTTATTCCCCAACAATTTGCAGATGGTTACAATTGCTTTCTTAAACCTTAAGTACTAAATACTTGGATCTTTTCTGACCACCTCTAATAAGATGATATATTTCATAATCATTTCATCATTTTTATGGGATTCCTCCAATCCCCAAGGCTCTCTAATGTAATCAATATCCTTCAATATCAGAGATAGATACACCTGAAGTTAGAATCTAGTCCAAACCAGGTAGGGAGGCTGCAGATTCAAGGCACTATTGCCATATATTTTTCATGTTATGTAGTACCTTACATCTGTCAAGAGATGACTTCATCACTGCACCCTGGCTTCGGTATAGCACTTAGTCAAATTCATCTCACGTTAATTTTACCACTAAGCTTTAGAGTTGGCTTTTCCTCAAGTAAAAATTACTCATGTCCATTACTTGTTACTCATTTGTTTCAGTGTTCTTGAGCTTGGTGATTAAGCACCAAACTTTGAAAGTCTTGACTAGTAACCAATACAAAATGTAGGTAGACAACATATACAGATGCTCCTAAAAGACTCAACTGCTTAAGCAAGTTTCCCAAAAGATATATTGAGTGACACTTTAAAAAAAATCAGAGCTGGATTTCAAGTCAAAGTAAAAAGCGCACACACCAGACTAGATAACAAGTGATACATTACAGAGAAACTGAAGTTCTTGCAGTGAACTGAAACTGAAGTACATGCTCTATAGCAATTACAAAATAATTACACCACATGACAAGATAAATCTCAGAAGGTATCACACAGTTCAACATTTGACCATCAGTTTTAAAAATGTGCTACATATAGGCTCTTATTCAATTCAAGAAAACCTGTGCTCTTCCATTCAGATATGGACGTGAGTACTGGTATACATATTTTTAAAAGAACTAGCCCCACTGCCAAAAGGTGATGCCTCCTGACAAATGACAAAATAAAAACAGTTCTGATGAGAACAGCTCTAGTCTAGCTGCTAAAATGCCAAAGAATATTCCTGCTTTTAATTTTCACAATATGAAAGACAACTCTATATTTTATTGCAATATTTTTCCTTTTTTAGATGTCCTAATTAAGGGGACTTTTGAAAAAAAAATTAAAGACTTTTAAACTGCAGATGCATCAATTTCTGCACTAATGGAGAGCTACAGAAGAAAAGACACTGGCCCTTCTATCTTTGAGGCAGAATTTTATTGCATGCAGTCTATCTTTTTAAGTTGCACGTAGGTTATGTAGTAAGAACTTACCAAGCAGCTCTACCTTTGCAGGTAGCCCCTATGGGCCTTTCTGAAGGGGACAATCAGCCTACCTCAGTTACCAGAGAGACGTCTTTGCAAGGTCAAGCTACATGCTGCTTGGTACTTGTACTCATGTAACAGGCATGGTGTGGATATGCCACAGGCAGCATATATCACTCCATTCACAATCTGGCTACTGACCAGCACAACAGCAAGACTGAGTGCTTGGATAAGCTGTTTCAGATACTACATGTACTATTCCAGCGTTAAAAAAAACCTTGGAAGATAAAAGTCCTATTTTGCAAAACAATTATATTTTGTTCTCTCGAGTAATATATTTAGCTATCACTAAATGATACAATTTAAAACACGAACAAGGTACAGTATAGTAAACTAAAACCATACTACTAGGAAAATATACCTTCCTCTACTCACTGACTTTTTACTCTCTATTACAAAATATATTGTAATTGCCCAGTTGTGCTCAAGACAAAACACTGATTTAATCATATTTACTACAACTCCAATAAAAAAATCATATCATCAATGGCTGCTTTCAGATGTGGGGAAAAAAACCCTGTGCTTTACTTTCAGCTTGGTGTGACCCAGGAACCGATTCAATCACCTATTAGATAAAAGTGCCACAAAGCCCCGCTGAAGTGCGCGATCTATACAGATGCTGGGAGAGCCAGGTCAAACTGCTGCATTTCCTTTTCTGGTAGAGTGATGTGTTGTTTTTTCCCCCCACATCTGTCAGCGGCCAATAAATGTAAACGAGATGCCTTCTTAATTTTTCCTTTCATGGAATTTGTAACTTTTTTTCATTTTTAAACCAAAGTTACTGTGTTCCAAAAATGGTACATTTTTCATATTAGATTTGCATACAAACATTTATGAACAAAGCCTTTTAACAATGTTTTTTTTGCTCAGCGTCTCACCTAAAATATTTACTTAAGTTTTTGCTTGTGATTGTAACTGGCCTTTATTTTAACTTATTTGACGGTAGCAGAACGTCTATTTCAAAGCCTTTCTTCCTCTGCTCAAGACAACCTCAAAAACAACTGAGAAAAGGAAACAAAGTACATTTGCACATAGGAATGAATGTAAATACAAAATAATAATTTTTACCTATGTGTAGGGACCTACTTCATTCATGATTTTGCTAGTTTTGGGGAAATCACAAAATCCAGAATTGTTCATGAAATCCTCAGAATCAAGAATGCCAAAAAAATAAAATGCCGATTCCCCAGGGGGAACCAGCAGTCCTTGCTGCTGGGACAGGAAAGCACTGTTTGGTAGGGCAGCATGAAGGGCAGAAGACAAGATGGTGGGTGCCTCCTTGTCCCACCCCACCAGGGCTTCTCAGCCAATCAGCACCAAGGGATGGGACCGCAGCAAAATGACCATGGAATTAGAACATTACACTGTAATCAACCCGTGAAAATTGGTAAGTACCCCCATGATTTAGGTAAACCCCTACCTATGTGCGCATAGTCTATGTTGGAAAATATAGCTAGTTCAACCCCCAAATTTAACCTCAGAACACAAATGCTATTATTTTAATAATAATAATTATTAGTTTGTTGAATAAAAACTCCAAGAGATCAGATCTTTTGGTGCTATTTACTCTAAATGCAGTAACACTGATTAATGACTACAGAACTGTAATATGACTCATTCTGTATTAAGTGGTTTAAGTGTGCTGAGCAGTACAATGTTATGTAAATTATTACGAACAAGGAAGCTGCCCTTTACTAAGATATTATAAATAATTCCATAAAAACAAAATGTATTAAAATTCAGATTTCAAAGCTCCCTCAACAGATCAAATTAAACAGAAAATTAGCAGAATAGCTAAAAATTATGGCTGGCTGGGGAAACAGTGAGTTTATGTGCTGCTAACTACTAACCTCTAGAAAAGCTGAAGTAAGTATTAATAATCAGAACAAACAGTAGGGAATATTTGGTGCATTTTATTTTCTCAAAGCTAAGTACAGAATTGTCAATGCTGTTACTTCTGTACCAACACTCTGGGCCTGGATGCAACTATTTTTTAAGGACTTTAAAGATGCCAGAGATGACTGTGGTCCTATAGTCCTTCTGTGGCCATGCACTGTGCCTTCCTGAGACCAGGGTGACCCCAGCCAGGAGAAGGCACTGGAGGCAGCTGCTCCTGTACCTCATAGACCAGGAGGGGAAAGGAGGAGTAGTCACCAGCCGCTCCCTGGTGTAAGCAGGAGGCATGAGGCCTTGCCCTGCCCTCTGCTTGGCTCTCCAACACCAGGAGTTGAGTGGAGCCTGCAGTGCTGCAAGCCCTCTGCCCACTTCTCACACTGAAGTACCCAGAGTGAGAAGAGGGCTGGGGGCTTTGGGTTGCTGCTCTTGTCCCCCACTGGACTGGTCCAGAAGGGGAGGGGAACAGCCACTGCTCTCTACCCTCTTCTCCAAACTGGGCAGTCCCTAGTTTCAGGAAGAGGTGGCGATTTTACCAGCTCCCATCAGCCTCCCCTTGCCACCAGTGCTGCCCAACTGGACAGCTATTTAAAAGCCTGCAGGGTTGGGAGGTGCATTTGGGGAGAGCCTGCAAGTCCAGACCCGAGCCCTGGTGGCTTCCCCTTGCCACCCTGGTAACTGTGCGGTGTGAGCAGCAAGGGTAAGCCAGAGGGGCCTGGGAACTGAGCGTGGGAAGGCTCACCCCAAGGAAACAGGCAAAGCACCTGCCTACTCCTAACACCAGAGTCCCAGGTGTGTGGAACAGCAGGGTCTTTGTCACAGCACTTGATCTTCTCAGCTCCTGGTGCCCAGCAGCCGAGTGAAAAGAGCAGCATTACCAGCTGCCTGCTTCTCACACTGGAGTAGCAGGCAGGGGCTTTTTCCTGTTATTCCAGCCCTCCCAGGAACAGAACTGGAGCAGCCTCCCAAGCTGGGGTCACCCCGGGATTGGGAAAGTGCAAGGAAGAGAGGAGATGGGGTGGTTGCAGACAGTGTCTGCACTGCTCCCTCTCCCAGAATCATTCTCAAGCAAATCCCAGGACGTCATTCTCCCGTTGTACTCGGCCTTGGGGAGGCCGCAGCTGGAGTACTGCGTCCAGTTTTGGGCTCCACAATTCAAAAAGGATGTGGAGAAGCTTGAGAGAGTCCGAAGAAGAGCCACGCTCATGATCAGAGGTCAGGAAAACAGACCTTACGACGACAGGCTGAGTGAGAGCCATGGGACTCTTCAATCTG